AGGACCCCCCGGGACCCCCCGGGACCCCCGACTCACCGGCTGAGCCCCCGCAGGGTCCCGTCCCTGCAGGCCACCCCCAGGCGGCACCGCCCGTCCCCGGGGCCGCGCGGCACCACGAACGCGGGGGGCGACGGCACCCAGCCCTGGGGGCACCCCAAAGGGTCAGGGGGCACCCCAAAGGGGCAGGGGGCACCCCAAAGGGGCAGGGGGCACCCCGAAAGGGTCAGGGGCACCCCAAAAGGGTCTGGGGGGCACCCCGAAAGGGTCAGGGGCACCCCAAAGGGTCTGGGGGCACCCCAAAAGGGTCTGGGGGGCACCCCGAAAGGGTCAGGGGCACCCCAAGGGGATGGCACCCAGCCCTGGGGGGCACCCCAAAGGGTCAGGGGCACCCCAAAAGGGGCAGGGGGCACCCCGAAAGGGTCAGGGGGCACCCCAAAGGGTCAGGGCACCCCAAAGGGTCTGGGGGCACCCCAAAGGAATGGCACCCAGCCCTGGGGGCACAGCGGGGTCAGGGGCACCCCAAAAGGGTCAGGGGGCAGCCAGAGGGGTCTCAAAGGGGTTTTTGGGGTCCCCAGGTGTATTTTGGGCCGGTTTTGGGGTGTTTTTGGGGTATTTTTGGGGTGTTTTGGGGTCGCACCTTGCAGATGACGGTGAAGGCCTCGGGGTCCAGCACCAGCACGTCCCCGCCCTCGGTGCCCAGGGGTTTTGGGGTGGTTTGGGGTGTTTTTGGGGTTCCCAGGTGTATTTAGGTGTATTTTGGGGTGTTTTTGGGGTGTTTTGGGGTGTTTTGGGGTCGCACCTTGCAGATGACGGTGAAGGCCTCGGGGTCCAGCACCAGCACGTCCCCGCCCTCGGTGCCCAGGGGTTTTGGGGTGGTTTGGGGTGTTTTTGGGGTTCCCAGGTGTATTTAGGGCTGTTTTGGATGATTTTGGGGTGTTTTTGGGGTGTTTTGGGGTGTTTTGGGGTCGCACCTTGCAGATGACGGTGAAGGCCTCGGGGTCCAGCACCAGCACGTCCCCGCCCTCGGTGCCCAGGGGTTTTGGGGTGGTTTGGGGTGTTTTTGGGGTTCCCAGGTGTATTTAGGGCTGTTTTGGATGATTTTGGGGTGTTTTTGGGGTGTTTTGGGGTGTTTTGGGGTCGCACCTTGCAGATGACGGTGAAGGCCTCGGGGTCCAGCACCAGCACGTCCCCGCCCTCGGTGCCCAGGGGTTTTGGGGTGGTTTGGGGTGTTTTTGGGGTTCCCAGGTGTATTTAGGTGTATTTTGGGGTGTTTTTGGGGTGTTTTTGGGGTGTTTTGGGGTGTTTTGGGGTCGCACCTTGCAGATGACGGTGAAGGCCTCGGGGTCCAGCACCAGCACGTCCCCGCTCTCGGTGCCCAGCACGGGGCACTCGGGGCTGCCCTCGGGACCCCCCCGCGGCAGCGCCCCCAGACACGTCACCACCGTCTGGGGACACACGGACACCGGGGACAGTGGGACACGGGGACAC